TTTTCTCTTTTGTTGTTGTGTTTTCTGATTTGCTGTTGTCATTTGCACCTCAGGGCCACCGTAGAAAACCTCTTGAATCAGCTGCAGTGTGACCTCATTTCCTCTGTGTGAGCTGCGCAACTTCATACATTTTAGTTCATGACCTTTTCTGCCTTTGAAATCGCATGGAAGAGCAACAAGGGTTTCTGGTAATTCAGCAGATGTGAACTTCATGGTGACCTTTAGCTTGGGTCAAAGTGTTTGGAAGGTCAAGCCCTCTCTGAGTCTGACCTTTCCACTGATGCACTGCTGTAAGACTGAAGGTGATGCGTGATCATAGGGACAAAATCTAACAGCAAAATTTGAAGACAAATTTTGTTATTGATGTCTCTCATTGGAAACAATGTATAATATTTTTAATAAAGCTTTACAGTTCGTAAACTTTGTCGGCAAAGTTTCGACATTGTCCAATCAGAAACAAGAATCATTGTGGTTGTGCAACCAGAGCCGCAGCCATCTCATAATGTATAACTTGGGCAAATTGACTTCTTCATTAATATATATACAATTTAAATTCACAGTAACAACATTACATAAAGGGCTTGGAATAGACTGTTTGCTAAACCTTCCTCTAAGCAGCAATTGGTAAATTACAGTTGAGTAACCGCAAGTAGTCACGGCAGGCCTGTCAAGCTTTGCATTTCTCTGCATGCTGAAGTGTTGTGCATGGGGCCCTAGTGAGATTGTAACTGAATATAATATATATTAAGTGCCTAGAGCAGGGTTGTGTCCGTTTCATCGCAATTCCAAAACAAACATATCAAGATCAAATGTGTAAGGAATGGATTAAATGAACCTGCGTTTGTCTTAGTTACCTACAGAAGTAACCTAACCCTGCGTTACTTACAGGGGTGTTTTTTTTAACTAGCTAATAACATTATCATGTTGGGTTACAAGTAATATTAGAAAAATCCTCTTTCAGGACTGAGCACACATGCATGTAGCTATCAAATGTATATTTGAAGGTCCAGTATGTAGGATGTAGTGGGAGCGTGAAGGAGATACTACGGTGGCCACGAAACTTTGCAAACAATGCGAACACCCCCAATATCTGGGCTACTGTATAAACATAGTGGTTCTACATTGCGGCCTCCATAGAAGAGGAACTGCTATCTCTGTAGATAAAAACGTCTAACTCTAAGGTAACAAAAAGGTGATTATATACTAATGGAAACAAACCTATGAATATTATATTCCATTTCTATAATAGACCCTCCTAAATGTTACACACTAAACCGTTAACAGCCTTTTCACAGGTCTCTAGTTTATATGCAAGTGAGCCAGAAACCACGGTCTAGCTAGCTACAGGTTATAAAGTCTGCCAGTGAGAACTATCACTTCAGCTAACAAATTCAGTTCAATGGTGGCAGAATGAAAATGAGAAGACTGCTTTTATCCAAAGTCAAGGACCCATTTGGGAAATTGTGAGTGGTGAATCCTCATCCATTATCATTGTAAACTGTGTATGTGCTGTACGAGAACAGAAAGATGGACAGATGCAACCGTTGCAAAGGGGGTGGGGCTTAGTAAAGGGGTCAGTAAGGCTCTGACTTTTGTTCTTAAGAAAACTAAGCTTTTAACAAATGCATGAACTTGCGTCTTTTTTTTCTTTGTCTTAATGAAACTATTATATATAACATATAATATAACAGGTCTGATATGTTACATACAAACCTACATGGTCAGTAGGCTATATTTGAGTGCCTGATGCAGTGTTAGAAACGAAGAAGTCAAAATGTTTTATGAGTTGATGGATTAAAATCTACTAGTTGAACCATTTTAATTCCTCCGATTGTAAGGTATTGGAAATATCAGCTGGTGTATATCACCTTAGGAGCAGATGATACACTGGGCTATTTATTTGGGAGCTATAGATGGGCAATGAACCTGACAACAGCCAAAAATGTGAGACACAGGGTCAGAAATTTATTCAAGTGTTTCCAGGCAACAAGAAAACATGAATAAATTGTGAAGAAAGCAACAGTTCTGAGTCAGCTGCATGGACACTATTGCCCCTCAGAATTGCCCAAAAAGTTGCTGTGTGTCACTGCTGAGAGCCGCAAACAGCAGATCCATAGGTTACGTTACCTGAGCTGACTAGGCCTGAACAAACAGCCTTCCCCCCTCCAGGGATGTTGGTGTCCCAGTCACTAAGGATACGGATCAGCTGATGAGGATTTTGACTGATGTCTGTGTTTTTAATCTCTGACGTGTATTTTCATGGTAAAACATATCTGAAATATGAACTGCTCTGACTGTTTATTCAGGCATTCACAGGATATTTCACACATACTGAAAAATAGAGCTAGTGATCACAGGAGATCCCTTTGAGATGAAACCTAACCCAGCCTTATAAGTGATGACTAATGAATCAGTCTTAATGCACAATAGCAAGCATGGATTTCAAAATGATTCTCTAAGACAAGAAAATATTGCATGGATTTTAAAGACTTTTATGAAATAACTAACACAATGATCATCCATACTATGAATTATTTAATGTTGAATTGAAATTGAATTTCCACATGCAGTTACCTGTTTTTCTTAGCCCTCCATCCGCAGAGCAAGTGTAGTCACTAGCAGCAAGCAGGAAGCACGTCCCCCCGCTCCGGCGGTCCTGTTCCCGGGTGCTGGACCTTCGCATGGGGACCCTCTCCTCTGGAGACATGGTCAGGTCACTGCCCCCGCTGCAGTCTGCTGATAGCACTGCGAGAAAACAAACAGGCCAGGTTGGAGATCTGAAATATTTCTACTGGTTCCAGTAATACATTTAAAATACAGTTTCTTTATTTCATACAATTAATACAATTAATAATATTCTCAACAAAAAGGTTTTAAGCTTTGAACCCTGAGCTTATAAATATAAAAGCCTTAATCAATGCACTTACAATACCCTTAAGCTTTAGTAGATACTAAGTAATAAGATAATGTAACAGTTATATATTGGTTTAATCATATCCCTTCCTTCTAAGGTACAAGTTGCCAGGGAACTAAACTTACTCCAGTCTGGCTTTCAACCTTGTGCAACTTTAATGTCAGTAACAGTTTTCTGGTCACAGCAACTTTTTTGGTCGAGTTAGCTTAAGCTCTTCTTTAGTGTAACATTTCCACTATGAAGTGAAAAATAACACAAAACCTCAAGTCAGTGGATATGGCTTTTGGGGCTATATAAATAAAATTTATTTGATTTGTTCACTGGAGTGTTTAATGCTTGTTTCTTATTGCAAAGAAATCGCCATTGAATGCAGAGGCTACTGAAATCTAATCCTAAAAGATACATCCTGATTTAAAAGGAAAAGTGGCTTTCCTTTATGTGGATACTACTGATGCACAGTATACCACTCTGGAGAAAACTGATAATGTGTGATTTTAACAGACATCACATTATGCAGTTCTACAAATTAAAAGAAAAAAAAGTGAAAGAAACTAAATGCAAATGTGTTGTAATTATCTGCATGAATTATTGATATATTACCACAAAATGTACTATTTCACTGCTTCCAAACAATATGAAAGTGTACGTTAAATCTACCTGTCACTGCTAAAATGTTACATAAATACGTTCTCTCTAGGGAACAGTGAATGGGAAATGTACTTCCCAGCGGAATATGCTCAGTGGTATACAGAATAAGCAGACAAAGGGGGTTTGTGGGTGAGGGAATAGGGTTTGTGGGTGACAGGAAAATGACAGTCACAACAAACATCAAAAAGCCTCCAACATAAAAAGCCTGCGCCAAATGTCACAAGCATCATCAGGTCAAAGGTCAGACGGTGTGTGGAGCTCCAGTGGATGAGAAAGACATTGTATCTTTTTTAGAACAATAAAAATCTGTCTTCCCTTGTGGGATGCCTGCATACACCATAATTATAGATAGGGATTAGGTTGACACCAGCAATGCATTTATCCTACTAACCAGTATTGCCTGTCCAAAAACTGTTAAAAGCACATAAAAGAGCCACACTGTTGAATTTGGATGACACACTCCATCACTACAATGACATTGTGCATTGTAATGATGGAATATGTCATAAATGACATCAGTGTGTATTTAATGTGTTTTTAATAGTTTTTGGATGACAATAGAGGTCTACAGTGTGACACAGAGGAATAATAGCTGGCTTTGCTACACTGACAGTACTGGTTAGTAGCATTGATTCATTTTTGCTTTTCTTTCACAGAACTGGTTGATAAAAAGGTAAAGATAAAATAACACTAGTATTTTTTTTTTTTACAATCACAACAGTAGCAGATTTACCATTGATTATTTTTGAAACAATAATAACCAAAGGTTCATTTCTTTGGGTTACTACAAATTTTTTAATTTAAAGGTTTTAAATGTATCTTAGATAATTTAATCTTAGAGTAAATCCACATACACTAGAAACTGACATGCGACTGGACATACAGTTTTGAACCTTTCACACTGAAACATAAAGTGTGAGGCAATCTAAACGACATTGAAAAGGACTGTAAACTTGCAGACTGTATATTTTAAATGACCTCTAAGGAAATCACACAGGCGACTAAACCAGATTGACTGTTTGTGATTCAGTTGAGGCATGAATTATTCTATACTTATTCAATATAAGATTCTGAAACCTAATAAACAAATAAACTGAAGAGCCCAGAGCGCCCACCTACCCTAAGGAATGTCTGCTCTAGAATTCAAAGAAAGTCAGTGTAGGGAGGTCGACACTAATTTCCATCAATATCAGATGTGTAAGAGTAAATTACTGACACAGGCCTAGAGGGAAAAACAGCCACCTACGGTTTGAACAACAAATGAACAATACCTACTGGAAGAAAGACTTGGACACAAGGACTCTGAATTCTTATCAGTATGAGCTATTTTACACAACCATTTACTACTCTCAATACCTTGCATTACCTACCTCATCACTGTGGCAACCAGAGATGAGGGCTGCAAGGTGAAAAAGCTCAGTCTTCTGTGAGGGAAATGCTGTGGTGCTCTTGAGTCTCCAGGGGAAAAGCATTTCTAGTCTCAGAGGGGGGGATCTGTCAAATAGCCACTGCTTTATACCTGAGATGAGGTCCCTTATGGATCGCTGTCACTAGACAATTCTGTGTAACCTGAACTGTACTACTGAGGCGCGGTTGCTCATAATCTTCTCTCCCATATGATCTTACCTGAGCGGTTGCGTTCTAGTACCCTGCTCCCTTTGACGTGGCAAAGGTCGCCTTGAGTGCTGTTGCAGGTGGTGTTGAGATCAGCTTTGCAGTAGGTAGGGGACCCTCCCTGCACCACCTGAGGGATGTGTTTCTTCCTCTTCTTGGGCAGTTTCTGCTTGGCCATTGCCAGGGAGTAGTACATCCCAAAGTTATTGACGATAACGGGCACAGGCATGGCTATCGTCAGCACACCAGCCAAGGCGCACAATGCACCCACAACCATGCCTGACCAGGTCTCTGGATACATGTCGCCATAGCCCAGTGTTGTCATGGTTACCACGGCCCACCAGAAGCCAATGGGGATGTTCTTGAACTTGGTGTGGAGGCTAGCAGTGGGGTCATTGGGCCTAGCGCCGATTCGTTCGGCGTAGTAGATCATGGTTGCAAAAATTAAGACTCCCAACGCCAGGAAGATGATGAGCAGCAGGAATTCATTGGTGCTGGCCCGTAATGTGTGGCCCAACACCCTTAGCCCCACAAAATGACGTGTTAGCTTGAAGATACGCAGGATGCGAACAAAGCGCACCACCCTCAGGAAACCCAACACATCCTTGGCAGCCTTCGAAGAAAGGCCACTTAGCCCTACCTCCAAGTAGAAAGGCAAGATAGCCACGAAGTCGATGATGTTGAGAACACTCTTAACAAACTCCAACTTGACCGGGCAGAACGTGACACGCACCAGGAACTCGATGGTGAACCAGAAGACACAAACGCCCTCCACATAGGTGAGCGCAGGGTCAGTTTCAATCTCATACTGCGGGCCAGAGTCCGGCACACTGCTATTCCGCATCAGCTCAGTCTTGTTGATGATGGTGTTGAAAGCCTCATGAGTCTCCAGGCAGAAGGTGGTGATGGAGACCAGGATGAAGAACAACGATGCAAACGCAATAAACTAAAGGAGAGGAAAAAAGAAAAACGGAAAAACATACGTTACATACAGAACCTTGACTGGCTACACTGGATATGTACACTAAGATCAATCAATTCATTTACTCTTGAGGAAGAGAGTGAACTCAGACAAGTTTAATTAACTTGCATCAAACTGAATGGACTCCAGAGAGAAGAGCAATCTATTAGCAAGAGCAACAAATAAACACACACTTCCCCCTCGCTCCTGGTGGGAATGTAGCACGGGAATGCAGATGCAGTCAGATTTAATTTACTGCTGCTGGTATGTTGGGCAGTTGGCAGTTAAGCAAGAGGAAAGAGCTGAACCCAACCAAGCAAACACAAGACTTCAGAATCAGTGGGGAATTGGAAATAGGTGCGTATTTTTGCATTGTGTTTATTTTCTGCTTTTGCATTTTGTGGATTTGTGTAAATCTCCTATTGTCTCTTATAGCATATTAAGTCATGTCACATCTCAATAAACAAGAGAAAAACAATGATTCAGATATATCTTGCGACTGCCAGGCTGGGAACTACATTATTTGAGGCTGTAAATCTATTCCTTTGGGACAGGGATAGGTGCATACATATAAACCAACACATAAGATAGAACCTCTGCTGTAAATAATTGTGTATGCAGTTATATGCAGTTAAATGTTTGTCAATAAACACATTTTAGCTTGATCATTTAAAGAGCAACTAAAAAGATCAAGTGAGTTATGTAGCCATTCCACAACTTGACAACCCAATATTTATTCTTACTGTAAAACAGAGAGACTATGTCCATTTTTTTATATAGTCTATAGTTTGGTGGGAAATTGGTTGCAAGTCTACTAAACCTTCTTAACAAATGTGCTGATGCACTTCTGCTGGATACAGATTGTTATCGTCATTACTAGCAACATTCTGTCGTCTCCAGCACAGTCTGTGAACTTTTTTTGTGCCTCAATATAGAGCACAACACAGGTGCTACCATCTTAAATTGGCTCCAAATGAAAGCCGTCTTTTCTCACTCGTCCCCATTGTGTCTGGGTAACAGTGTCCAAAGGCAGGCAGACACAGGGACACTTAAATAATCCTCTTGGGGGCTATTTGATAACCCATTCATTCATATTTTGTGCTAACAGGAAGGAATGCATAGAAATAAGGACCTTTTATTAGGAGCCAATAAACTCACCAGCTTTAGGCAAGGTGATAGGGGAGAGACAAGGTGATGGGGCCTTTCAGGTTTTTTTGTGAGTTTTGCAGCTACCAGTTTCTCACTTGGAAGGCTAAGCTATATTCAGTTAAATCCTACCGACTGGTCCTCTAATTGCAGAATGCGTCAATATAAAGTACTACCACATAAGCCTGTTATTAATAGAAAGTTATATTCCAAAGAATCATAATTATAGCTTATAACTTTGATCTTTGGTTGGCAAAATGATAGCATGTTGATACACTGCAGCTGAAGCTGTATGGTAACAGTATTAGATGATGAGTCATACACAGATTTTATTTATTTATTTATTATTTTTCTTTTACCACTAAACAGATCTTGTTTGGTTTTGGCCTTCTTTTGGGAAGTGTTTATGGAACCACCTGTCAGATGCAGAGCATCCAGCTTTTTCCGCTGCCCTGGAAGATGCTCAGGCTGAATCTGCAAACATCCACGTCTTTCTCCGAGAGCTAGACGGAGCAGATTTCCACACATGCAGCCTACTATGCTCCTTCTCCACCTTCCTCCCACAATCTCTCCACTGGTGTGCTCTGCCTACTGAGCTCTAAAGAAGTCGTTTCACACCCTGCCTTGTTTTTGGATTGCATGACTCACACACTCTCAAAATATCATTGCCACTATTTGGGTCGCCCTGCTCCTGAACTGTGTGCGTGCACTCGACTCGACTGCTGTTAGCATGCGCTCTCTTCATACATTATACATTATGTCTTTATTGTTTTATAAGTGCATGTGTTTGTCACTGGCAAAAAGCCTTAGCATGTTGCAGAATGACAGTGTGACATTGGTACTCAACATTATTCAGAAGTTACTTACCACCATCAACTTTCTACATTCAATTCAATGAAATTTCCAGTATATGATAACACTGAATGCATTCTTCAATCTCTCTGCATTAAAAGCCATTTCACAAAACATTGACAAACACCTTTGGCAAAAGTTTTGTGTTATTTGCATGTCTTTTATAAACACTGAACTTGTAATTTCTGTTGATGTTTCGCCCATTTTCCATACATTTGGTTGTAGGCAACATACAATAGTAGTGTATGTAGTTAGACCATCACCCAGGTTTTCATGTTTCTAGCTCTAACATGGCTAGTGACTGAACTGCATTGGGTCTATTGAGGCTGCTGTTAAGATCTCTTTTATAGACTGATAGGTTGTAGGCGGAAGCAAACAAGACACTATTTCTGCTGTTTCTCGCTCATAAACCTGCGCAGTAACACTGTGCAGAACAGTGTACTGTGTGTAAAGGATTAGACTTTTTTTTTTACCACTTTTGTAAATAAATATGACATTGTGATGATGTAGAACCTGTTACAGGAAATAAAGTTAAATAATATTAATAAAGTCATCAAAATGCAAAATCACAAAACCCACGCTGACTGCTTTGTGCTGTTATCAACTGCTCCAACAATACACTTGAAAAACTAAGCACATTTTCACTTTAGTGAAGATCTGTTTAAACTTTAGTTTATTTCCATTACATACCTACATACATATGTTCTGTTTAAAACCAGTCTCCCTTTTTTAAATATCCTGACTAAAATTCTACTTTAACAGTTTCTTATGTTTTAGAAGAAGTTAGCAAGTAACTGGCAAGAGCAGCACTTTCACACTCATACTGTGAAGGTAGGTAAAAAACGATTTATTGTTCTCACATTTGTTTTTTGAGACTGAAGAACTTCCACATTTACATAGTCTACCTTCAGAGGGGATGACTGTCAGTCATAACCATGCAAAACATCTTTACTTTAACAAGCAGTGAATATACTGTATGACATAAATAAATATATAGCATCAGTCTAGTAGAAAACTTTACCTTTTCATTTCAAGGAACTAATGCTGTCAATATTCAAGTTGTATTTACGACTGCAAATCGCTTATATTTCCAGGGTCTTTACTAATATGAAAGTGCCTCCAAAGTCAGACAAATATGGATGCCTCAGATTTAATGGATAGTGCTATGGTCAATGCAAGGTTTTTAACACTCACACATCAAACTCTGTTGTAAAACCGCCTTGAGAATTTTCTCAAGTTGTAAACATGGAACTCTTTCCTATCTCTACCATCCATTCTAAATGACGCAGAACCACATTGTCTAATTGCTGACAAGAAACTATGGCTACAACTAACAATTATTTTCATTATTGAAAATTGAGATCGATTTGTTGTTTGGTCCTGAAAATGTCAGAAAATGGTGAAAAATGTTGATTACTGGTTCCCAAAGCCCAAGGTGACATCCTTAAATGTCTTGTTTAGTCCACAACCCAAAGATATTCAAGTTTAGAACACTGCAGGAAAATTTGGAATTTGTTTTTGCTGTAGGCCATAATAGGGAGTGTACCTTTAAAACAATTCATTGTATGTATTTTTAATCAATTACTGAAAAGATATTGTATATATTTGTTCCTCTACATTTATAACTTCAAACAATGCATAACATACTGTCTTAGAGGACTAAGTAAAACAAAAGATATCCACAATTGGGAGGCCTAAGCTGTGGACATTTTTTCTTTCTCTTCTTTAAAAAAAAACAGTTGGCGATTAATTAAATAGCTGACATAATATCGATTAATTAACTAACTGTTGCAGCTCTATAAGAAATACAAAAATAATGCACCACCTAACAATGAAATAATCTCAGAAATGCAAGGTGCACTGCTGACAGCTTTGATTAAAGTATTAGAGGTGTTTTAGGGGGGACTTTGCCTTTAACCTGTAACCTCCTAATACAGCAATCCTCCTCCTACTGCTCATCTCACCCCTCACTGTGTCTTTATCTCTGCCTCCCTCTCATCGTGACACTGGTTGAAACGAACAGCTGGACTACCTGAGCCGTTTCTTTTTGGCTGCTCGGATGCTGCGCCAACTAATGACAACTGCTGTCTCGTGCTGGGCTGTAATTTTGTTGTGTTCACGTCTGCCGAGTGAGGATACATCATCTCCCCAGTCCACGCCGGCCTGCAACAGCTGAATCATGTCACATGAAACAAGCACGGTAGACTAACATGCAGCTGCACACACTCGTTTAAAAACACACAACCTCACAAGGTTATTTATGATAGCCATTAAAAATGCAAAGGCGCTGCTCTACCATGTGATTGCAACAGGCACATGCTTCTTCACATCCTGATTTCCAGCACACACACACAACCGCATGCTAAATAAGTCTTGTACTTTTATAAATCGCTCTTTGAAGGCAGCGTGGGGCGGATGTAGCACAGACGGTCCATCTCTGAACAATGCAGATCTAATTTAGCCCAAGGACTCGCCTTATTATTCAGCCGTCTTTTTCATTACATTTAGGGCTTTCAGCTTTGGAGTTTCTCGCTCATTGTCACAGCTGATAATGGCCAGGGTGCCTGTTGCGGAGGTCAAACCTGTGACCTTCATGTCTGACTATCAACATGCACTGTAAAGAGCCACGTGCATGCAGGGCTTCATCATAAACAATCATTAAAGAGGCTGATTTCACTGATTACCACGTCTATCGTCCATCCACGAGGATAGGCTCAAACTGCAGTGGGGGGGGGGGGGGCTCCAGAGACTGTCTGTTCTTTAGTCAGGGTTCATGAAACCTGGAATGATATAATTTTTCCAAGGACCAACCTTGTAAATTTCCTTACGTGACTGTGCCAGAGGCCGTGTTGGGCATCTTACTTTAAAAATAAGTTAGTTAATAGTTAGAAATACTTCCCCAAAAAGTAATTGAGTAGTAACTCAGTACTACATTGTAAAAGTATTAGTTACTCAGCAAAGTACTGGACGTTATTTTCTTATGTTCT